TAACCCCCAAGATTACCACTCTCTGCTCTCGTTTAGTTTCGCTCAATGATTTAATTTTAAATTTGAAGTTTTTTGTGCCCATAAATTGAGGCTTTCGACGTAACCCCATTGTGGGATCGTGCGGCGACTAATACCAGCAATTATGTACAACACTTGCCCCGAAGAGGCGGCAGTTATGCTGTCAGCGAGCCCCTCTTTCGCCCCTCTACCCCTCCCCCCAACCGATTTGGCTAATTGATTGACAATTTTTTGCATTGACAAGCATTTATTTGCTATGCGCAATGCATATTGCCGCCGCCGGTTGCAGCAATATTGCCTCGATCGACTGACTCTCTGTCAATGCTTTTGTGCAATCATAAAATCAAGCAGAAATCAAGGCCAACATTTACGAGCCAATGCACAGTGCACAGTAAATACCAACTATTTTTTGGTTGTCATAAAAATAAAGGAGAAGCAGAAACGAGTCCAGAAAACAAATGTCAAGTAGCTAAGTTAAATAAGAGGTAATTGGGTAATTTTTTGCAGGTAAAATTAAATGTTTTCTTTAGGTAAAATGTTTATATAACTTCAAAATTGCTTATAAAATTATTTTGGGTATAGTTTTGGTATAAAGAAATGATTAATCAATCAATTATTTAAGCCTTACTTTACTACAAATTTTCTTAGATTTCTTAAGCTTCAAAATTAAATTTAAAATGTAAGTTTACAAGTTCCCAAAGCTCTCTAAAATTGCACATTCACATTTAGCCTCAAGTAATCAATAATCCCCAAAAAGATCTACACAATTTTCTGTGTAATATTTCCAGCTGAGAAAAATCAGTGATTCATTTTTGTAAGCCACACAGAATCCCGGTCTCGAATTGGCCAATAAAAGTAAATATGAAACCCGAACAGATGGCATCCATACATCACTGTTATCGATGCCATTTTTGGGCGCTGACAAATTTGTGGCCAGATGCCTATCCTCCCGGGCCGGGCCATAACTCTATGTATGCTATGTATGTGAGGTAACTAATGACCGTATTTAGCCGCAAAGGTTTAGCTTGAGTCCGGGCTTTGGGGTGCGTTTTCTGAGGCGGCTGTGTTGGCGCACACTTCCTCAAGGCTCATTAGTTAAGCAAACAACACTTGAATGACTACAGAAAAAAATACAAAAAAAAAAACAGAACGAATAATAATAATAAATAAAGCCACATTCTGCATTGTAATCGATTTGTGTCTGAGAGAAAGAAAATATCGACGATAAAAAGTGTCAAGCGAGAGCTAAAAAACTTGAACTGAATGTAATTAATCAACAATAAATCTATTATTTGAGCAAGTAATTCAATTAACCCAACAAACAGTGTCATAAATATTTATATACAATTGCGATTCATAGGCCAAACATCTGAGCAAAGTGCAAGGCAATAAGCGAACAATAAAGTAAATAATTTCTTTGAATATTTAAGCGCCTTTTTTGTGTTGCGTTGTGTTGTTGTGTTGCCTCTCTCAGGCAGCTGCAACAATTTAACACTTGACATTGTTTTCATAATGTACAGGCTTCGCTGTAATTATTGTTATTACATTCAAGTTATACAAAACAAAAACACACAAATCGAGTTCAAGTCCGAAGTGTTTGCTTTTTGCCTCAGAATTGATTTTGGTCTGCCGTCTGCCAATTTGCCATGCGGCTAAATAAAGCGACTTTAATTGATCCTCAAAATCGAAATCGAGGCTGTGTTGATAAGGCAAAGCCGCTTTTATGGCAAGCAAAATATATCGTGTGCGATCGCCAGTCGCTTAATCTCGATCTGGCTAAACGAATTGGGGGCGGCCTGATCTAATTGATATCATTCGTGTAGCAATTTGCAAAACACGACAATGCAAAGCACCTTCTGCCGAGGATAAGGGGTTAAATAATATATTAAGGCAATGAACTTTTGAGGGAGATAACTAACAATATTTAAAGGGATATTAAAGGGTTAATATTAACTCGAATATTCAAGAATTTTACGAGTAGCAATCGAAAGACTTAGGCAACGAACTTGACTATTTTGCTAACAGCAAACGAAAGACTTAGACAACAAACTTGATACTTGGATAAAGTTTAAGAATACCCTTCAGCCCACTCTCAAGGATTTCCTTACTCACCGAAACAAACTCCTTGTTTTCCAGCTCACTCCTTGCCTGCTGCTAGTCGCCACAATCGCTGGACTTGGACTCCAGGCAGAGGCCATCCGGGTGGATTGGGGCACCAACACAGGACCGATATCACCGCCGCCGCCACGTACCACGCCGCAGCCGCCCCGAAAGCCATACCGGGAACCGGCGCCCGTCTGGGAGGATCTCAGTGACGATGTGCCCAACCCCAATCCCTATGTGTAAGTGCAGCCAAACGGGTTCGAAAACCTGAAAAACTAGCCAGCCCTAAGGTGTAATGTATCTTATATAACTGATATATAATATATTTACTTTTTTTTCTTTGATTTATGTAGCTACGTCTTGCCGCCGCCATCTCGCCCCAGATACTGGGCCATACCTGCTGGACCCTATGCCCCGCCAAACTACAACAACCTGCCGCCCAAGCAGGGCAACTACGGTCAGCTGGCCACGAGTGCGTACAGCGGCGGAGTGACCTCTGTTCCAGGACTAGCTGCCCAGTATGCGCCTGGTGTGGGCACCAAATACACAGCCATTGTGCCCGACAAGCTGCAGGGCAAATACAATGCAAAGACCAAGAAGTATAAGGCCTACGAGAAGGCAAAGTATGCGGCATATCCCTGGAACTATGTAAGGCAATACGAGGGTCGCAGGCGATATTTGCGCTATTGAAGTCCCCCTCAACCAAGATACCTGATATATACAAATCTGATTTGCATTTAGAACTACTATATATAAAAATTGTACAAAAAATTAAAGCCAGACACATGAATCCCCCCATGCTTTTGACACTCTACCTTTTGCTGTTGTAAATGCCTTTCAGCCAGAGATCAGACAGACAGACACCAACGCCCACTCACGCACTCAAGCATCCCGCTCACTCTTCCTTTCGCAATCATCTTGAAGCATTCACATCCATATATACATCCCCATCCACATCCACGTTCATGTCCATGTCATAATCGCATGCATCATCTCGTTGCAGTTGCAGCAGTTGCCGCTGGAGGAGAAGGCCTTGGAATGGCAGGCGGAGCTCGAGAAGCGGCTCGACGAAGAGCAGGCTCGTTCGCAGTCTCAGGCTCTCAGTTCCTCAACAACGACAAGCACCACTTCCAGCACCTCGACCACGTCTACGACTACGACTACGACAACTCCAGCACCATCGCTAGACAGCAGCAGCAGCACCTCCACAGCAGCATCCACCAGCACCACCTCCGCCGCATCCACCAGCACATCTACCACACAGCAGCCCACAACAATTGCCAATTACAAGCTGGCGCACGAGAAGAGCGCCCATCTGAAGAAGCTCGGCAAGCAGAAGCGGCTCCAGCAGCTGCACTTGGAGCAGGAGAAGCTGCAGATGAGGAAGAAGATGCTGCTGCAGCAGGAGCAAAACTCGTTGTCGAGCTGAAGCGCCAGACAAGAAAACATAAATGCGAAATTAACTTTAAGACTTGCCCACAACATGTTGTAAATAACTATTAATAAAATTAAACATCCCATAATAAAACCTAATCGAAATTAAAAACAAGACTTTTGAGGGGCACTAAGAGGTAAACATTTTGTAATAAAAGTTAAGGAATAATTGAGGTAAGTAAATGAGTTTAAGAAGTAATTATTGATGGTAAAAGAGACAGGAGAATGCTGGGGAAATAGTTATAAAATAATAAAGGAAAGTTAAACTAAAGCATTAATACAATATTAAGATAATAGTAAGCGAGGCAGGTATGTGTTGGCGTCAAACTAAAGCTTAAATTAATATTTAAAAACTATAAAGTATGTGATATTAAATAAATAAACAATTTTCACTGAATACTAAACAAAACTCCATATAAACTCATTAAACTTAAGCAACAAACTTCCGCTGAAAACGAAAGTCTTAGGCAACGAACTTGAACCCCATGAAGATGAAGTAACTAGCATAAAAAGCAACCACTAAACACAGGGAAGACACAAAAACCTAAGCAATAGACAAAAAGAGAGTGAGAGTTGCTGGGAGAGATGCTGCCTAAATTGTCTTTTAATTGCCATCAGGCCAAAAGGGCAAAGCCGCACAAGGTGAGCTGTCAAACGGAATAACGGACACAACAGCACTGATTGGCACTTTCTTGAGCGATTGAGCGACTTTTTATAGCCGCAGGCACTCAAAAACCGAACGAAAACATACAGCAATTAGCCCCAGCAATTAGCGGTGTCGTTGAACGGCGGCAGTAACGTCGGCTTCTGGGCCATCATTTAAGCCGCTTTGCTGATTGCTGCTGCTGCATTGCTGATCACAGAGCGGCAAAGGCAGACCCTGACCACGAGTAAAGGAAACAATATAATTAGCACAAAAGAAATACCAACAATCATTCTTGTTTTTTTTCTGCACCTCCACAATGTTGCTAGCTCCTTTGGGGAGCTCGTTAACTGTCAACTGGTTTCGGCACACTATTTATAATTAAGCTTTGAAACTCATATTTAATTTGAAGCGCCAAATTAAGGGCAATTTGTTGAGTGACACTAAACCATTACTCAGTTTAAAAGGTATTACGAAAGATCATCCATTCATTTTAATTTCCATCAAAACGTTTAACAATCAAAATCTAGTTAGGAGAAAACAATAATTTTATTCATTCATTCATTCCGCTTTTTTTGTACACCATTTTTTATGGGAATTTTATTAAATTTTACATTTACATTTTTCTCGCCCGAAATCAATTTAAATTTCAAATTAGAAATCCAATCAACAAGTCAGCAAAAGCATTGAAAGACAATTAAACATTTTGGGCAATTTATGGGCTTAAGCCTTAAGCGAGACAAATAATTCGCTCGATCTTTGTTTTGTCAGAGGAGGCGCTGTGCTCTACCGGTTTCCAGCCTTAAATCACAAATGCCACTGGCTCAGCCAGGGCCAGAGCCCGGAGTGGCTGTGGCTGCCTGCTCCGGAATTCCAGCTTCTGGTGCACTCTGCTGTTCCTGGTTCGCTGCTCTACGACAGCCTTGAATCCCCGGCCAGGTCCCCGCACCTCGTAGTGCACGCTGCGAATATGGCCATCGGGCTCTAGGTGGGAGTAGGAGCCAGTGACATGGTCGCCATGCCGCTGCTCTCGGTGGAGGATGTGCACCTGACTGGCTGTGTCCGAGATGTGATACTGGTGGGAGTAGCGGAGCTGTGAGGGGGTAGGGGTATGGAATTATATTTTTAGAAATAATAAAATAATTTCTCTTTATGGTTTAATCATCAAAACAAATTATTTGTGTCATTTCAAAGGTATTTTTAACAGGAAAAATAATATTTGTCGTATTGATTATGAACTTTTTTATAGAAGCTGATGTTTTGGTAAATACAACCATAAAAGGCGAGGATTTTAAAAGCAAATTTAAAAAATAAGCTTTTAAATTGATATATTATGTATATTAAAACCTTGTTTTAAATTAATTAAATTAAATTAAATTAAAATGTTGCAATCATTCCTTAAAAACTTCAACAAAAACAGCTTTAAAATATGTTCAATCGCTGCTGCCTCAAACTTAAGTATTTAATAATAACATTACTTTGTAACAAAACATAAAAAAACCTATAAACCTGGTAATAAGATCACCGACTCACCCGCTTCTCGTCGTGATTGCTCCCGTAATCGTTGTAAAACTCAATATGCCCGGCTGGGCCACGCTGCGTATGCGCAATCTCTATTAGCCAAAGGAAAATGAAACCGAAACAGACGCCAAGTTGGACTCCCAAAGCATATGCCATGCTGACCGGACACGTGGGCAGGGAACTGCTGCCGAAATTAATTTGATTAGAAACATAAGCAAGCCTTCGAGAAGAGTGGGAGCTGGGAGCTGAAAGCTGGGCAGCTGACCAAAAAAATTGGACACCCCGGAGGAGGAGTGGCCAGGGGTGAAAATCATTTGCACTTTGCAGTTACGTTCGGCAGTTGACTTGAAAGCGACTTGTGCAGCACTTCCTAGCCTGCGCCAAGATGCTGATTACATAGTCACGTTGTTAACTACATCTTCACGGTGCCAAAGCCAGACCTGGAGCTGAAGTTGGGGAGCTGGGAGCTGGAAGCTGGTGTGGACTGGCGTTGCCTTGGTGCATGCCAATGTTGGGCAATCAAATCGAATCAAAGACCAGCATCTTTCACACTTCGTTAGGGGCCAAGTCTCCATCGCAGTCGGGGCAATTTAGTGTCAAAAAGCGAGCAGTCGATTAAAAAAAAGCAAAATAATAAAAAAAAAAACAAAGGCCCCGCAACCACTGGAAAATCTAAAACGACTGCAATATGTACATTATGGATGGCCAGGCGTGATCTCCGACGGGATCTTTGACTGCTTAAGTTGTAGAAACAGTGGTGCATATGCTCATAAAAATAGCTTAAAAATTTAATATTTAGAAATTCCCACTAAAAAAAAGGGCCTTAGATTTAAGAGAAATCACCCCTAAAATGTTTGTTTTGAGAAAAGTAAATGAAATATAAAATAATCTAGCTCACTTAATATTATTTAAAAGCTTTTTGTAGTAAATACAAATGTAATATTTAATTTTAAAACATTTCCTTATTTCAAAGCAAAACCCCACTGTTAACAACTTTTGGCCGCTGGCTAACGTGGCCCTAACGTGACTCGATGCTTGAGCGGATTGGCCTGACCCAGGCACCTGGTACCAAAATATCCCTTTCCTGCCAATCCCTGCCATGATCCATGGGCTGGGCTCTAACGGACATTGCCGTTTATGAGGCCCGGAGTGGCCACTTTCTTTCTCTTGCATCATAATGGTTAGCTCTCCCCTGTTTTTATTTTTTTCTTCAATTTTTGAAACTTTTTTTTTGCCTTTACAAGGCACGTTTTGCGGGAAATGCAAAGATTTGAACAGCAGGTGACGCCATAGCCAACGAGAGGTCTTCCCACTTGGATGGATGCTCGTCGCCAGGTTATAAAAATCAATGCCCTTTTGATTAGTTACAGCTGTAATTGCAAACCGTTGGAGAGCTTTGTGAAAGGTTCCAATGGTCACTGTTAAATTAAAAATATTTTTTTTTAAAATTTTGAGAGACATGAAAAAGATCAATACGTTTTCAAAGGAAGATTACTCTCTAAGGAGCATTATTTTAACTACAAGAAACTGTTGAATAAGTAGTTTAAAGTATAAATAAATTCTTTATATCATTAAAACAATATTTTACAAAATAAAAACCATGAAAAAGAAGATCAATAAGTCTTTAGAGGAAGCCTACTCTCTTAGGAAGATTACTTTAATCAAAAAACACTGTTGATTAGGTATTTTAAAATTTAAATAAATTCTTTATATATAAAAAATATATACTAGATATTTATCTACTTTAATATCAGCTCAATTTCCTAGTTTTCAGTTACAGTGCACTCTCAAATTCTGCCTCAGTAATAAAGATATTGTCTAATTAGAGCCAGACTATCAACTTTCGATTGGCCATGGGCAGCATCACGCATACGCCCCCTTGGATTGCGCAATCCTGGCTAACAAGATGAATCTGGCTGAGCTGGATGCCCCTTTAAGGCACGACGCCCGTCCAAACTGTCGTTAATTGCAGGGTCCGAAGGGGGGGAACTGACTCCCATAATTCACAGAATCGAACGGATAATCGGCGGCGGGTCAGGGCACGTTTTCGGCCCATCTTTCGCTCTCTCTCTCTCTATTTCCATCGAAATGCCAAATGCACTGAGGGAAAAACAAGAAAAGCTGGTCAGGATAACTTGTTTTCCTTGTGACTTGCTAATTGCAAATGAAATCAAATGAAAATGGCAAGCGACAAAGCATTTTTATTTTCATTTCTCTGGCGGTTAAAAAAGCACACGCTCCATTAGGCCAGGCAAACATGCGGCAAATGTTTATTCATAACTGGATTGAATCTCGGTCTGGCTCTAGGAGTTGCAACTGGAGCTGGAGCTGGAACTGTTGTCCGAGAGAGGCCAACATTCGGTCAGTCAGTTGGTCTGTCAGTCAGTCAGTTAGTTGGTCGGAAGCCAAGATGCCGAGATGTTGATGCTTACGACAAAAAATAAAAACACTTACTTTTTCTATTGATTTGTGGCCAGATTTCTTGTTTTCCTTGCTTTGTTTACATAATGAACTGCCACCGACAACGAGTGGGGAGCCCCAGCCCCAACGTATAGCTTCCAGCTCCCTGCTACCAGATCCCCAGCTCCATCTACAGCCCCTCTTATCCGCAGAGCTCCTCAATGCTCCTCCTCCCCAGATGCAACTTTAGCTATGCGGGTGCTTGTCGCATGCCACACAGAAAGAAATTTTGGAATTTCAAGGGGTTTAAGATGAATTTAAAAGTATTTTAAAATAAAGCAAAGCAAAGAAAGAGATTTAGTGGAGTATAAATAAATTTTTGCTACTAATTTTATATTTTCTAAACTAACAAAGATCGGATTAGTATCATTTAAGCCAAAACCCCTTGAAAAAGTATCAAAATAACCTTTTTAAAGCCCAATTTAACCATTTTACATGTTTAATTTTACTAAGGAAATCTAAGAATTTATTTTTTCAACACACAAGAATATGTATTTAAACTCTACATCTCTCAAAATATCTAATAAACCCTCTGAATAACTTAATTGTTCCTTGAAAAATCTCAAAATAATCTTACCTAAGTTCAATTTAACTTTTTTACATAGTAAAATTATACTTTAAAAATCTCAAAAAATATATTTTAATTTCTAAAGAGTATACATTTAAATCCTACATATCCAAAAATATCTTATAAACAATCTTAATAACTTAATTTTTGTTGTGTACACACACGCCATGGCATTGCTCAATCGACGCGGCCGGCACTCGAGATTTGAAGCGGGGCTACTTGCCGATATATATATAGTCGGACTTGGACTCGCACTCGTATTCACATTCGCATCGGAATATATATACATAATCGACGTGGCGGCATCGTGCCCAGCTCTATAACCTTAGTCAATGCTACGAGTATTTGCGGGGCTATCTATCTCCATGGCGATCGCCGGAGGCTGCAGCAGCAGCACTCGCCAATGTCGTTGTCGGTAAATGGGGGAAGTCACTGCGAACTTCATTTAATTGCCAAGGGGGAGAAAAATATATAAAAAAAATTAAATGAAAGCCACCTGTAACAGGGGGGGAGAAAGCACAGGCTGTACTTTTGCCAAATGAAATGTGTCAAAGTTTGGAAAGGAGTCGAAGGCCCTCCCTCCCAGTTGAACAATTGAAAGCCAAGCTTAAAGCTTAAAATAATACAAACTGTCAAATATTTATATCTTTTCGAGTCAGAGACAAGTTGAAAAGTATTATTTAGGAAAACTAAAGTTAGCAAGTGACATTAAGATAAGGAAATGGGCAGGAAAGAGACTCTTTTAGTGGAAATTTTATTTATGGAAGGTTTTCTTGAAATGAAAAGGGGGAACTTTAACAGAAAAGAAGAAGCAATAATATTTTATATTATAAATAATAAATATTTCATTAACAAATAATATTTATAATATTTATAAAAGGTGTTTTATACCCTTGCAGGGTATTATAATTTCAGTCAGGAGTTTGCAACCCAGTGACGGAGACGTTTCCGACCCTATAAAGTATATATATTCTTGATCAGCATCAACAGAGGAATCTTTCTAGATATGTCAGGAAGAAATCGATTTTTTGGCCATTTTTGGGAAATTTTATAAGGGGTTACATCATTAAAATTTTTGATTTTGATAAAAAATTGAATTTTCAAAATTGTTAAATGAAGTATGCAGATTTATTAACTGTAGAAAATCTTGCACAGAACAGTTTTCCAATTTAAAATTAATGCTCTTTTGGCCGAGTTATGATATTTTTAATTTAAAAAAAATCAAGATTTTTTTAATATAAAAAATCTGATTTTATAATACAAAATAATATTTTTCTAAGTCAAGGAATCATTTCCGACCCCATAAACTATATATATTCTTGATCCGCATCAACAGGGGAATCTTTTTAGACATGTTCGGAAGAAATTGATTTTTTGGCCTATTTTGCGAAATTTCATAAGGGGTTACATCATTAAAATAAGCAAAAATTACAAAAAATTTTGATTTCTTAAAATTTTAAATTTGGTATGCAGTTTTTTTAAAATCATAAAAACTAACACAAAACTGCTTTCCGAATCGAAATTAATGCATTTTTGGCTTAGTTATGATATATTTTAATTGTTACCTGCAAGGGTATACAAACTTTGGCTGGCCAAAGTTAGCTTTCTTTCTTGTTAATAGTTAAATTATGCAGCTTCAAAGAAGTAAAGATTTTAAGGAAGTAAATACTACAAAATTGTTTAATATAATTTAAGTTTACTCGAACAGCTTCCCCCAAATATTAAAAAAAAAAAGTATTATTATGAAATTTGTTATAAATATATATTTAAAAGATTTTATTATAAATAAGGAAGTAACAAGAAATAACCAAGCTAAACTATTAGAGTTAAAATGAATTAACCTATGTATTTAAGATATAACAGCTTGCTTAGTTCTTTTTAGTTCATAAATTATAATAAGAATTTAAGAGTTTAAGCTTCACTAGGCTTATATATTTTATGATCTCCTTTTTATCTTCCCTCTTATATAATTCTTTTTTAAAAGAGACACTCTAAACTCCACTAAATGCCACGCTTGTAGTCATAATCGTAATCGTAAGCCTCCTTTTTCATCTTCCGCAATTTCAGGCCGATTCTCCACTTTGACCATATTCAGCGACCTGGTTGGCTCACTTCCCCTTCTACCAGATCCCGATCGTTGGCGATTGCATAATGTCATGTCATGGGTACAGGGTACCGAAGAAGACCGACCGAAAGACCCCATTCAAGGCCGTTACCATTCCCGTTCCTATAACCAAAACAAAAAAAAGCCAAACACAAGGCCTTTTATGGCCTTTCCTGGCCATGTTACTCGGCGCTGCACTTCCCAATTAAAATGCATGGCTAGGACTGCCACACGAAAAGCACTCAAATGCGATACGAATCGCAGCAGCGGCGGCAAACCGACAAAAATTAAAGCGCCTTTTCTGTTTTTTTATTTTGCGAACCCGTTTTAAGTTTAGCGAATTTACATAATGTGCTCCAAATGGGCAGCGGGCAAATATAAATCTCAAGACAGAGCCGGGAGCCATCGAAAACGGCAAACAGAGAAGCCGAAAAGCAATGACAATGACAATTGCATGTGACAATTGCGGAAAAAGGCCAGTAAAAAAATCTACAAAAAATAAAACTGAGAAAATCTGGACAGTTTCCAAAGTGAAGTTCATGGAAAATCAGTATATGAAAGTTTCCTTGGACCTCGGAAACAAAAAAAAAAAAAACGTGAAATGAAATCTGAAAAGCGATATTGATGTCTGGCAATTTATGTTATTGAACTTTGCTTTTTATGCAAATTGAAAAAATCCCTGAATAATTGCCCAAACAGATTTTTGGGCTTGTTTTAATAAGATTTTTCATCATACGAAATGAAAGTCCCGAAATTAAGGAGGTTTCCCCCACAGCCACTTACTTTTGTGTTGCAAGTTGCTAGTTGCAAGTCGCCTGCTGCTAGTTGCAAGTTGCTGGATTGCTGGGTTGCTAGGCTGCTGGGGTTGCTATATGTGGGCGCTGTAATATCAATGGCAAACACTTGAAAACTGAACCACTTGGCTTGGCTGCCACGCTTGCTCTGAAGTGTTTGTTTGAAGTGCTCTTGGAGTTTATTTACGAGGCGGCAGATGGGA